TGAACGAATAATGGCGGGAATCGACCGTTTTCTAACATGGGAGGATGTCCTGGATCCTAAGGAAGGTTTCCTTAAGGATGATTCTGTTACGCTCGAGGTTAGCATATCATATATTTTAATCAAGAATATTGATAATATAATTATTTGTGAACAATTCTTTAACGTGAATCTTTGAAAAATAGGTTCACGTAATGGCTGATGCTCCACGTGGTGTCCATTACAGAAACAAATGTACAGATTTAAAATATGAAGATACGTACTATATAAATGAGAGGAAGATACATACACGTTTAGAAAATCCAGTTGATACGAACTATATAAATTCAGCACTTCGGACTTTGTCGTTTGCCAATCAGGTAGGTCAATGAATCTTAAAAAATTCAAGTTCTAACTTGTACTGACAAGCATTAATTTTCTCACATTCGAGTGAACGGTAAATGAATAATAAAAGGAAGTCAATTTATAAATTGTAATTATAAAGTGACCACGTTCATAAAAAGTACAACATAAGTCTAGACGCACATTCAATGTTAATGAACGATTCTTGTACCGTATCGATGCAGAACTTTAAATATTTAAAAAATTTATTTTCCAGTTACGTAAAGAAGTTTCTAAAATGCCAACAGAAGACGATGATCGAAGCGAGAGCGTTGATCTGGCTGTACAAAGGACTTTTTACCAGATGCAGTTTTCTAATTACAAACATATTACAAAAGAATTAATGAAAACTATAAATTGGGGAAGAATGGATCCTTACACGCGAAAGAAGAAACAAAAATTTTTAGACCGGGTAAGCGATAGTAATGTGATTTACGATTATCGATACACGTTAGCAATAAGAATTAACGGTTGTAAATGTCTATTTCAATAATTTGCCACGACTAAGAACAATTCCTTATTGCTTACTCAGAACTATTTTAGATGTTACACGATTTGGAAGAAAACGTTAAAGAAACGATTATTGAAGGAGAAATTGAGAAGATTAATGCAAATGTAAACGCCCAAATGAAGGGAATTGCAGTGTTCGCATCAGATCGATATTATGGCCATTTTCAGAGCCACCTCGAGAACTGTGTGCTTTCCGAAGAAGCTTCTTTTTCAAAAGAAAATCTGGAAATGTAATTCAATTCGA